AAACTATTGACAAGGTTGCTGAAAAAGCTTTGACAGCCTTGGAAGAACAAAATAAACGGTGAATTTGACTGAGTTCCAAGGAAGTTTCCCGTCAAAACCGAACTTATATTCAACTCAGTGTATAAGTTGGATACCGAAAAGTTGATATCGAAACGGAAAGTTCGCACCAGCAGCTATCGAAATCCCCCTATAAGTATCACAGGTTTTGTGATTGTACAGGAAGAGCAAATATTTGACACCAGTTTCCTCTTCAAAGGATCCGTCATCCGTCTACATTTCAACGTCGGGAACAATTTTAGAAAACCCCGACTTTTGGAATGATAAATTTCGGTCTAGAGCTTGGTTTTTCAAGGAACGGTCTTTTCGACGAATTTCTGAAACTGCCAGATTTGCTCTTCCATTAGACCACAAATTGGTTGTCGGAATTCGGCGTATGAGCTTAGCCACTGCTTCGTTTGTCGCATTGTCAATAACTGAAAACATAACGAGAATGCCACCGCCGTTTGATCAGTGTCGCGCTCCGTTAGCAATCAACCGCGCGTCAAAGCGAACTGAAATCAAACTGATAACGACCGCTAGGATACTAAGAATGATGTGTGAAAGGCCTAAACATTTGCATACAGGATAGAAGAAACTAAAGGACAGATAAGTACAGAACATTTTGTTAACTAAACAGTGGTTCGAACACATAGTGAGATTTGGGGGCTTTCCTCACAAGATGTTGGAAGAAAACAGTGTAAGCATACTACTTTGAAGCTGTACCATACCGCTACATAAGCTATCAGAACCGTTTTCTCCTCCCTGAACAAGAAAAAAGTTTTGAATGTGGAAAAAACCCGAACTCTTTCATATTCTTTTTGAATCATCTGACAAGACCAAGTTTAGTGCAATAAAGCAGTATTTAAATTAACGAGAACATAAGATTGACGGAAGCTCGGGGACTGCGCCTACCTCATGAGCTCCAAGAAAAGCGAAACCGGTCGTGGGCTGTCGAAGAGTTTTCAGAGAACTTTCCTTCATGAAAATATACTGTGATGTCTCGAATCTCGTGTCAACTGAATCATGAGGTGGCCTATGTGCAGCATATTCACTTGAAGAATATCATAAACGAGAGATTCAGTTGAGTCTCTTGTGAAAACCAAATTGATTTGGAAATGAGTGTATTTATAGAAAAATTAGCTAGTTTAAAAAACACCTTTCGCACACTAAAGCAAAGATGATTTAATTGCTTTGAAGCATCAAGCATAGATCTAAACACGTCAACAAAGGCAAGGTATTAAAACCCAGTGGTACAGTTGGTTTTGGAAACATTCCAGCTGAAGGAACCAAGAGCAACTAGCCCCCTAATGAGTGAATCACGGGGTAGCTGCTGATGTTTGAGGTGAAAAATTGTTACAGAGAGTTGACTGGAACATTATACCCACAAGGGTCGTTTAAGAATTTTAGTGTTAAGTGCTTCAGAACAGTGGTATTTATAAGGCAATTCGGTTTTAGAAGATAATACCACACACAGACACACGGAAATTCGTTTGAGATGTCATCAACCACATGATATAGGGTCACATGGTTTGAATCGGAGTGATCGATTGCTTCAGCCAGCCAACTCCCCAGTCTCCGCAGATGAAACTGGAGTTTACTGTCGTAGTGCGTTCATATTTCTCCAGAGATTTGCGGGATGCGCACAGCTGTTGGTTCCCGGTCATTGGCCATATTTCGGCCTCCTCGAAGGCCACTCACGGCCAACCAATCACTGTAGAGTTATAAGGTACTGTTGAAAAACTATATAACCGCGGGCAGAAGGGGAAGGAATTGCCCACTCAACTTCACATGAGCGATATCGACTCGATTGGTGATGATGTCATCGAACAGCCGACAACCGAAGGCTTGATTTGTTGTTGAAATGTTTACTAAAATTTCTCAGTATTTGGTTTTTAGAACGAATCCGTTGCCGCCTTTGACTATCGCCTTCAAAGTTTAAATAATCAAAGTCTGTAAAAGAAGACTGAAAAGCACAGGCCTGTAATGTTCAACTGTGGAATTCTCTGGGTCTGGTCTGTCAAGCAGACCGGACAGAGGAAGAGCTCATACAAAAACGATTTGTGGGACAGGTGCGAGTCCTGCAGGGTGCCGTAACCACTGAAGCATTTTTAACTCTAGGAACAAGTTTATTTTGCCGAGTTTGTGAAATACAGTAAAGTAGGCCGTCCATGGACGTATTCAATTCCCATCAGTTTTATTGTCAAACTTGGACAGTCGCACTTCAAGCAACCCTGTTAAGGAGTCTGAGCTATTTAGGGCAACACAGCACACGGGTGACCTTGATGGGATCCAAGTTCTGATTTTCATTATGCTGACCTCCAGCTCCGGCCTGTCATGTGACCCAAGAAGCGAGATTTATATAAACAAATCCAAACAATCCAAACAATCCAATCAAGCCACCAGAAATAAGAGCGAGGGCTGAGATACTGCTGGTCCCGAGTGTGATTGAACGAGGCAGTGGTCGGATTCGAACCTTTCGGTCAGTAATTTCGCACTCTAACCATGTGGGCCAATTGGGCCTCTGTTAGAAAAATTCTTTAAACTACTCCATTCGACTGACCACTCCACGATAAGTGAGTGCGGATGTTGTAGAGAAACTTAAGCAATACTCGAAACAAAATTGTCCAACAATATTTCTGTTTTTCCGGAACTTTAGATAAAACGTGATGACTGTGTCACACAACCAGGACTTTTGCGATGCATCAGTTTGTGCCGTTTGAAAATCACGCAGAAACATATTGACTTATGTCTATCCTTAAACTGTACAGAACTGCAGTTGAAAATATCGATCGTGGTTGTCGAGAAGAATGAGGCTGACTGTGATACAGCCGACTAGGTTTGTCAGCTGGTCAATGGATACCTGTACGGAGTAGCAGAAATCTATCGTCCTATGATATAAACATTCGGAACGCTGCTTTGATGTGTACGTGCTTTTGGCATACATCAAAAGGTGGGATGTGTGAACCGAATGCTACAGCCTGATCGCTTGCACCATGTGAAATGTGCGCCGTTGTATTCGAGAGTGAATGACCCGAATGCGCAACCGTACGAAGCAATTTTCTCCGTATGGTGTGAAATTTGCAATACACCGCTTGACGTTTCAAGCGCCAGAGCAAATCGTCCGATTGAGGTTGTAAACTTTTCATCGGCAATTTAGTTGATATCGTCGGTACGTTGCTGTGTAGAGACTAGCGGCAGCGAAAAAGTTTTTCGCTTTTCAAATGTTGATCTTTGTTGTTATTCCCACATACGCATTGGCTGAAACGAGATGCTTCTAAAATTACGAACTTAGCCTCCCCCCCTTCAACGGCAAACATATAGACAAATAAAGCTGCAGCTGTTCTGTACCACTAACGTGATGAATGTGACATCCTATCGGTGTGTGCGAAATTTCGCCAGCAAAACCGCTTTGATGTACATGCTCTGGTTTGCTCGTCATCCGTACCGATTGGTTTTGAACCACTTTTGTTAAAATAACTTACTACGTGTAACTGGTTGAAGTCACGTGAATGCCTGAGAATCCTTCATCTTCAGGAAAAGGAGACACCCCACAAGTCGCAAGAGGCTTACTTTTGAGAAGTCAAAGAACCAATCAACAGTGGAACACGTGACCAATTGAAGAGTGGCTGGTGTTTTACCTTGGTTTTATGCCGGCCCCACTGCTAATCAGCCAATCCTGGTCAAACTTCATACTTTTCAGCTGATGATAAAAAACGCGTTCGAATAACCCTAAAAATATGTTGCAGTTATCGATAGTGATTTCAAGCCCGTGATGCAGGTCAACTTAAAAAGTTTCAGATGAGAAACTTATGTTTTTCACCACTCTTGAACTTCCGACAATACAAGTATCTCCTCCGGATAAAAGTGTCTACCATCAAACTTTGATCAATAACCGTTGATTGTTTTCCAAAATTACACGCAACTGATGGGGGTGCGACATAGAAGAAACAAAAAGAATTGTTCGAAGAATTGCTCGAAGATAATCCAATTTAGTACTATGAGATGTTTATCAAAAAATCGATGAATCTGATGCTCACGGTTGAGTGCCTCAAAAGAATTATGAAACAGTTGAACAGCGAGGTGGAAGTGAGATGAAATCTTGTGATCGAAATCCGCCTATCCTGAACAGGTAACAATCGCCGTAAAGCCCTTTTTGGTAATCGTCACCAGCGGGCATCTCAGGAACTGTTTTGAAGACACGAACGAGTGACCTATGGGCCATTAGAGCAACACTCAATCCGTCGGCTGGTGAACAACTCTCACTTAGACAGAAAGGCTTGTTATTATTCCCAAGCATCGTCACGTGACTTGTTTCTAAAGTGCCCCATAAGGACGATTCTCTTTCAGAGTTTTCCATAGAGGAAAATGTTGGTAGCTCAGGTACGGTAGACAGCTTATTCGCTGAGCTGGGCAACTGATTACAAAGGTTTCATCACCAGTCGAGGTGGCATCATCAGTGCGTCACTGGGGTGCGTGGTAGTTCTTGGCGATCGGTTGGTGGTTGTGCCACCTCTTTCAGAGTTTTTGGGTCGATTTCTCTCGCACAACTAATGCCAGACTGCATCACATTGTGAGGCGTCCGTTTAGTCTCTCCCCTAGTTATGCTGTTTTATAACGACCTTGGGCAATGTCACAAACTACAAAGCCCTGGCTACGTTGTTGACCGCGCTAAGTCCAAACCAGCCTGCTTCTATCATCGAAGTAGTTTTTACTCATTTTGATAGACATGCGATATCCGCGTCAACCACTGTGTCAGCCTGGTAATGATTCCATCATCCAGTAAAACCTGGCTGTTCTCTGTAGGGGACCGTTTCTTCAGGGGCCATTAAAAACGAAAACCGAGTCCTAAGGGATACTCCTATCTCTGTGAGGTCCTCTCAAAATTCTGTTTGTTTACGTATTTGCTTACACAACTTACTAACGTAAGTATATTTATTATCCATGCTTATTTCACTTTTCAGGGGTTGGAAAAGGATAGAGCCTCCTCACAAACCCTGAACACCAGTTTTTCGAGCACTCCAAACGCCAGTCAGCAAACCAACCGACCTTCTTACGTCAATCGTACATTCCAAAATGATCAGAAAAGTCCACGCAGAGCGATCCCACCAGTTAGGGAATCTAGTGTACCATTGAGCTACTCGACGAGGGAGACCAGTTCTCTCGCAGAGGCACGCTCCCCAGTTCGAAAACTGTCTTTCGCCAATGACCGCACTGTCTCGGTGCAACTTTCGCAGGCGCGGCTTTCAGGATCCGGCGAAGTCCCATTGAATGGCCGAGCTTGTGTACATAACGCTTTGTTTGGAAAAGGTTTCAAAGGTTAGTAGTTTATTTGGCGAAGCTTTTGTTCAAACTTCCTGAAAGTATTCCTTCAACAGAGCGTACGGAGTGAAAGAGATTCATGCAACCATTGAAATGCATATCCAGACTAGTCTGGTTCAAGTCATCCTCTGTTGTGGTGTGATCACGCATTTGCGAAGTTTACCCTCTGCTTGATATATTGTTTTCTCTGTCCAGATAGCCAAAATATTCGTAGATTCGTTCGACATGATACTACTCATAAGTTTGACAGGGCTTCCCTTATTGCGTTGAATGATCAGAACTGGAAAGTTACTCAGCCGACAAGTTCATTTGCAAGACTTTTGTGAATTTCGCTTGAAGAAACACCAGTTAACCTGACGAGAGAAAAGTTTTTTCAAACACAGTCATCTTGGCGTCGCATCGTTTTATTCTCCAGGCAAACCGCAAAACGGCTACGTTCTTCTAAAAGTTAATTATTGGTTGCAGTTTGTTTCAAATGCAGTCATTGAAATTCGTTTTATGTTAAGGCCTTAGTGATTGCGTTCCATTACCCATGGTGTTTGCTGGACAGCGACCAGAATAACCATTTTAAGCAATTGCGCAACAGTGCATAAACCTGACAGAACGATACCTCTTGTGTAAAATTCGAAAATTACGGAATTACAGAACAAATGATTGCGTAGTTATCGAGTTATCGATTCCGGAAATCAAAATATTTTCAGACTGCGAAACAGTTTGATCGATATTACTGGCGTGCTGGTTAGATGAATCGAGTTTGTGTCACGTGAAGTGGATGAATTCGGTTTATTACCTGTTATAAACACGTGCCTGTGTAGATGGTACAAGCTGTATCGTTTTTTGTGTTAGTGAGTTGGAAACTGTGCAGTGATTCACCGACAGACTGCATTCTGTCATAGCGTCTATAATTTACGAACAGATATTCCATCATGTTGATCGAATTTGACCACCAGGTTCGTTCAGTCACTTTTGTCTAATCAGGCTCCCTCGGGAGCCGGGTGTCTCACCAAAAATCACGAGCAATCAGACAAGCCTCAGTCAAAAGTCTAAGCGATGTGGTCTTTCATTTCTACAACTTTCGTCGAGCAATACTCAAATTAGGGTCGTATGAAAATATATCGCAATAAAACATCCCTCGAATTTTCATTCGTACATTCGAGGAATTTCCTCACCAAGAAAACTAGACTGAAAACCTGTGAAAAAGGCAAATGTAAGTAGAACAAGGCAAATCGAATGGAAAGTCGGAAATTACGCCTATCTGGAGCATTTCAAGAAGGACAACATCGATAGTTGATCGTCGAGGGATCTTCGGTCACAATAGGAGTAGGTGTTATACCGTGCCAGCGGAAACGTGAGGCGATCTCCATGTAGCATATTCAGTTGCATCTTAGTCGGGACTTCCATTAGTACAAATTCGATTCGCAGATGTCTATCTGGAAGCGGGATGGCTCGGTGGTTAAAGCGCGAATTTACTGACCGGAAGGTTCGTGGTTCGCACTCGACCGCTGTCTCTCAACTTTCCCTGACTAGGATTGGGCAACCTGGCAGTATCCCAGCCCCCGTGCCCCCTTCGGGTAGCGTAGCCACTAAGCACCGAAGGGGTGATACAGCTGATATATGGATGGATAAGGTACCAAGTACAACTTGATGTTTACGTAAGCAATAACGGGGACTACGTCTGTCTGATAGAAGGGGGAAATCAGTAGTGGGTTTTCTGAGCGTTTTGAGCAACCTTGTAAGTAGTGCTGAGCCAAAACTACACCACAGTTTTTCTCATTGAGCCCAACAGTATTTTGAGTTACGCTCCTGGGGAGGAAGAATAAGCCATTTTATTTTCGAGCTGTAGCTCAATTTGCCGTTTTTTTAGGATCATTTTTTCGCGGGTACGTGATCTTCAGTGATATAATTTTAAGCCTATTCACTTACTTATTTAGGCGAACAGGCTGACCGCTGGTTGACTGGCACGCATTCACTTTATAGCTAATATGTACAAGGTCTTTTGCTTGTGCATAAATATCCGGTCGAAAGGTTCAGTCACGTGTGGACAATAATTATTATCTGAGCTAACCAGATAGGCTTAGGTGGAATCCACTCGGACGATTAGTAGGTGACAGTTTCAGAATTTTCTCCTACAGGACAAATGATGTGTTAATCTCGGTCTAATCGGTAGTTGGAACGTTCAGAAATATTTGAATAAGCAGCCTGTTCACGAAGAATTGCGCTTAGGTTTTGGGGAGATGGGTATTTGGCTAACGAAGCGTCAAACAGGACACAGTCCGCTGTGTCACACTCTGAATCTGAGAACCGACGTCTCGGGTGACCTGCTCCCTTTGGTATGACCTTACTTGTTTCAAAAGGTGTCATAAACCTCGAGAAATACACTCATTTGTAAAGTCAATTTGGTTTTCACGAGGGACTCAACTGAATCTCTCGTTGTGATGTTCTTCAACTTAATTTGCTTCACACAGGCCGCCATGTGTTTCAGCTGGTACGATACTCGAGAAATCGCAGTATATTTTCATAAAGGAAACTACTTACAAGGTGTTTATAACAGTTGAGTCTCTCATGAAAACCAAATGGATTTGCAAATGAGTGTATTTCTCAAAAACATTCCAATTTGGGTTCAAGTAGATCATGAGGTTGATGGAAACTCGGGGACTGCGCCTACCTGATGAGCCCCATGAAGGGCGAAACCGGTGATGGGCTGTCGAAGAGTTTTCAGCAACTCCGTGAGTAGTTTCCTTTATGTTATAAACCTGTTCTGATGACACTGTTTAGGAGCTAAGTGTACCTTTTAAAATATGCTCAAATTTGATGTGAAGCAAGGATGTTCACTGCTGATGAGCTCAATTGAGAGCAAACCTTGAGTCTAGCGCTTCTCCCACCCTTCAGTGTGGTCTCAGCAGAATAATTACGACATCCAAGGATGAACGTTGTTTAAACGAGAGTGATGTAAATGTGAACGGCGCAGTCCTGCAATCCTCACAACAAAAGACACGGTAATACTACTTTAGGAATTGCATAGGGTCTTCAGCTTGACCTAACCAGATAGGCGAGTGAGACACGGTCACTCGATATCCTGAGTCCAATGGGGAGACGGTTCAGTGTGGAATAATGACTGCTTTTTCTGCTTGACATTCCGCATGAGGTTATCCAGTTTTGACAGAGCTTCGGTTGATGTGTTGTACTTTTTAGTGAACTAGGCCGTATGATACACTATCGTATGGGTTACATCTAGCAGGGACAAAAAATGAGCAGTGTTCATAACTGTATATACAGCACCGCTTTTTGTTGAAAAAGCACATCACTTGAAATGGAGTGAATGCTTGCTTGAGCGATTTTTGGATAAAGAGGTAAACTTTCCTGGGGATGCTTTTGACGCGTTTTCGACTGGTCCCGTGGCATACGGTGATCAGCTGTCTTCTTGAGTTCAACCCACCAAAGTACACTTGGCTTTCCGGATTAATTATAAGTCTCGAAAAACGGCAGGTGAAGATCACGGTGACCATAAATGCAATGTGCAATACACGCACGTCTAACACAGTAAGATGTAACCCAGTCTTGATATGGTGTACTTATGTTGAGTAAATTGTACTGGTACAACGCAAGGAGTATATAGTCCCAGATAATCTAGCAAATTGTTAAGTCAAGAGGAGTGCTGTATTCCGAGGAATTTGCCCGCGCATCTATGTGCACAGTGATTAAAGAACGAATGAAAACTACTCACTGTTGAGGAGTAGTCTCTTACGTGGTAGATACAAACCTCGCTGTGTTATTATTTTGTACATTCACGCGTATCATCGCAGTTTGTCTTCCGAAAACAGAGGTTTACCTGCATGAAGATCCCGTATTTTTTTGCAATTTCACGGAAAGATGAAGTCCCATGGAGATCGTAACTTTTCATAGTTCATCACTACTTGGTGAGATGATGAGCCTAATTGGTTGGGTTTAAATTATGCTCGTCTGGGTCAAATATTTGCTGCCTAGGTAGACGCACCCTAAATTTTCTATATAATCGTGGATCTCAGTTAGTACTTTATTCAACCATGAGTCCCTTGTAGATGGAAGGTGGGATGTTCTTGGTTTTAAGGAATTAAAGGAAGAGTTGGAAAACAGTTAGAACTTGTCTAAACCTAATAAAGATTTCATGGGTTGTCTCACCGTGCCTCTAAACAACCTGAACTGCACCGACAGTTTGCTCCACAACCTGACCAGTTCTTTCACACGTCAATCATTCCATACGCGTTTGATTACTCCGTTACCAGCACTGTGTACTCGAAATCACGGACACTGACGAAGAGTATCATATGACCTTTTTTCATATATGTCTAACCAAATCTCACGCGTTTCTGGCTCGATTCGCTCAACGGCACAAAGTTCCGAACTCCTCCTAACAAAAACTTGGATACCTATTGATTTTTATGTTACATATTCTACACGTCTGGTTATGCAAATCACGTGGTTCAGACTGACAAAGCGAAGAGTTTGGCATTTGATCTGCCAAGTCTGCTATGTCGTTCAACCTCGGTTCTCTAGTTCGCGGTATGCAGGTCGTTAATTTTGCGTACGCCATTTTGGGATGCGATGATTCGAAGACTGCCTCTGCTCACATAGTGGATGGATTAGGCATCACGCTGAGACTAGCAATGTCAGTGACATTTCTGCAGATCTGGAACCCAGGACATAGGATCAGTAGTAGAGCACACAGACGCCATCCACAAGTTTACAGTGGTAAAAAAACACGATGGAATAACGATAGCGTGTGTATCGAGCGAGCTAGGTTGCTGACTGGAAAGGTCGGGGCTTATAAATAACCCCGGCATCAGGACCTCTGCTGACTAGGTTTGGGTAATATTGTAGTATCTTAGACGTCGCCATTCCTTCAGGTGGCATGCCAGCTGAACGATCGATAATAATAAAATTACTACTATTACCAATGGTTACCAATCACATCCTTGTGCTTCAGTGTTATCGCACCTTTCTCTCACAGCACCGTACAG